GCTAAAAGTTAGGAATTACTTTGAAATGAAAAAAATTCTTTTTTCTTTTCTTTTTTTTAAAAAATTTTAAACAAATGAAAGAAATAATTATGTAAGATATATATACATTAAAAGAAAATGAAAAAAAAAGGAAAATTAAAATTTATATTTGTAATGTAAAATGTTATTATAACAATATTGGTAAGATTTGTGAAAAGAAAATTTTAAACTTTTCAAATTGAATCATCGTGTTTGTTCATCGAGCAAATTTTACTGGTATGTATTTCTCGAGTAAATCATCAGTAAATAAAAATTTTCAATTCTTTTCCTCATTCATTTGATCTAATCTTTTTCTTTTTTCTCTCTCTCTCTCTCTCTCTCCCTCTCTTTCTTTCTTCTTCTATTATGCAAACCTGAAGTGCTTGAGCTTAAATCGTGATGGTCACTTATTGTCCACAGTGGTTGACATTTTACCATTATTTGTCATCATTATATTGTATGCCAATACTTCTAATTCTTATTCTATGCAAATTATGTCATAAACATAGAAAGTATTTCGATGAAATTCATAATTCATTATATATTTATCAATTTTTAATTAGTAATTTCTATTAATAAATTATTTTCTATAGTATCTATAACAATGTTTAACAAAAAAAAAAAAAATCATGAAAGATGTAAATTAATTATGCTTCTATCAAAGCTTATTATTATTAAAAGCTATTCGTATCAATTGTTAAAATAGCTAAAAGAATAATTACAATCATTGATTTATTATTACTTCAATCATTTTTGTTTTTTCTTCTCAAAATTTTGCAAAAATTTTTAACAGTGATATCAGTGATATTTTTATTCATCAAAAATGATATTACCATTTATTTACTAATAGATAATTTTTTCAAAAAAAAAAAAAAAAAAGGGAAGATCAGAAATTATATTAATTCCTTAAAAAAAAGCAAACATTAATATTTTAGAATTTACTATTTTATGAATATTTTATAATTTATTTTTCAGATAAATGATGTGTAATAATATACGATACATTATAATTTGCATAATATTTGTTCATGTTTTTACCATAATTCAGACAACCGAAATTATTAAATTGGCTTTTAATGACACTGGCATTGGTAGGTTATATTTTGTAAAGTTAAACATTTTTTAAAAATAAATTTACATCTTAGTTGTATCAATAGCTTCATTTCAATTCATTAATTTTTAGCTCGCTACTATAAATAATGATTAAATTTTGCGCTAAAGATAGTATTCAAAATCAATTTTTAAATTTGACATGATTTAATTAATTAGTGGATGTAGAAGGATGAAAAGAAATGTTCATTAGTTTGTTAAAATCTTGGCAGGTATTTCGCTTTACTGTGAAGAAGGAACACCGTTATTGTTAGCTGATGATACGGTAATGAAATGTCTACCGGATAAAAATTCGGATAGGAGTATGTCATGTCCGGAAAAATTTTGGTGTCATATTGGTGCTACAGAACATTCGTGGTATTGTTGTCCACGAAGTAGGAAAGGTTGAGTAATTTTTGTAATATTTTAAAAAAGAAATCATGTATGAAATTAAAGACTGAAAAAAATGAATTTGAATTTATTAAATTACAAAAAATTGGGAAAATATTGTGCTTTCAAAATGTCACATAATTTTTAGCCTACATATTTCCTAACAACCAAATAGGTCAATTTACCATATTAATCACTTATACTAATTAAATGGACAGTAATCATTGATTGTATAATTGATTAATTACTCGGTAATTAATTTAAAAAAAAAAAAAAAA